TCAGTCAGACTGAAGCACAGTGACATCAGATGTCTGTGCTTCAGTCTGACTGAAGCACAGTGACATCACATGTCTGTGCTTCAGTCAGACTGAACACAGTGACATCACGTCAGTGCTTCAGTCAGACTGAACACAGTGACATCACGTCAGTGCTTCAGTCAGACTGAGCACAGTGACATCACGTCAGTGCTTCAGTCGGACTGAGCACAGTGACATCACATGTCTGTGCTTCAGTCGGACTGAGCACAGTGACATCACATGTCTGTGCTTCAGTCTGACTGAGCACAGTGACATCACATGTCTGTGCTTCAGTCGGACTGAACACAGTGACATCACATGTCTGTGCTCAGTCTGACTGAAGCCTCCAAGCTTGGAATCATTTTTGGCCCAATCAGAAGAGCCTCAGAGCTTCACGAGGCTTCATCTGCCCATCACTAACAAAACCAAGTCCATGAACATCACCTGGGTGCCTGCGAGCTGCAAAGAACATGAGAAACATTCTTCCAGCAGCCATTGGTGAAAGGATTGACCCCTCCTCGAAACTTTCCTGTGACCTGTAAAAACAGAAGAACAGTAAACACTTCAGTGATGAAGGTGGACAAACATTAACTCTCAGTTCTATATAAAGTCAAATAATTACAATCAACAGGATGTTTTGTAGAAACTCGGCTGGAACTTCAGTCTTACTGATGATTAAATGATGAACTAACTGACTGAACTGGTAAATATTTGTTTGAATTTCCACCTGTTCATTGGTGGTCCTGCCTCTGGCCACGAGCACGATGTGGAAGCCAGTGAGCCCAGCCACAGGGACAAAGAACAGGCCTGCAACACACATCACAGCCAGCCTGGACACACACCCGGTCAAGAAAAGTCTTCAGCTGAACTTTCAACACACACACACATATAAACTGGCTGTGTTTAATTCATTTATAATCCTAATCTCTTCCAGAACTCTCCTCAGTTTGGTCTCACTGTGAATCTAAACTTCTCTATTTATAACAATCCAAAAAAGGTTAAAAGAAAAAGAAAAATGAATTTCTGTTCTGTAGCTGTGTAAGTTTAATGTCTCAAGCTTTAAACTGCTGCGTTGTGCAAAACTAGACTCAAATACAGATGTACAGCAGGTAAAATAAGTATTGAACACATCAACATTTTTCTCAGTAAATATATTACTAGAGGTGCTAATGACATGAAATTTTAACCAGATGTTGGTAACAACCCAAGTGATCCATACATACAAAGAAATCAAACCATAAATGTTCAGAAATGAAGTTATTTGTTCTTATGGACTAATTATCTATCTGTTTCACCTGTTCAGTGTTAATCTGTGTTGGCCCAGACAACAGGACTCCGCAACAGAC